TCTACTGTAATCCTTCATATGTATCCAAGGAAAAAAAAACATGACATGAGGTCTGGCAACCTACAAGAAGTTTATCTCCTAGGTTACCAGATCAACCCCTTAAGGGAATTTATTTCCTAAAGGAAATTCTAAAAACTACTTAAAAGAATTCACAAGACAAAAGTGAATTCCATTTACTTAAGTAGAATTATTCACGATAGTAATTTTAATATGTGTACCATTTTAAGTTCTGTAACAAGAATAGAGGAAATGGGATTTGCCTAAGCAAAACAAAATAAAGACAAAAATGAATTTTATGCTGTAAAATGTATACTTTTGATGATATTACTAATAATTTTGCAAACACAAAATCGTGCAAATTTCTTATACTTGAAATATTATTTCAACAAATGTATAGTAAATACCATTTATTTTATATTTATTTTGAAAGTGTATGACAATAATTTTCCTTTGAATACACAAAACTCTACTTACAGTATTGTACAAACATCCAAAACTTAAGGATGAACACATTTGTTAGCAATGTTGACTAGAAAATGTCACCAAGCCAGTTTCTGATGAGTTTGCCATGACATTGTGAGCATTGCATCACTGTTTGAGGTGAACATATTCCATACTGACAGATATCTATTCCTGGATTTTGTTAAGCACTTGCCATTCTCCACTTACTTCCAACTGATGTATGTATCTTTATCATCAGAGACTTATTGTAATTGATTTGATTTGTAAAGTTCTGCAAATTGTGTATTACACTGTGTTAGATGCCAACAAATATAGTTCTTGCCATATTTATCTGCATTCTCTCTATTCATGTACTGTACAAATGTCTACTCTTAAGTTTTGGACATGTGTATATATATATATATATATATTATGTGAAGATCAATTTTTCTTAACAAACATAATAAATTGATATAAAATAAAACAGCAAAACTAATATCTAATGTATANAAAAAAAAAAAACAAAATACTATAAGAACTCATATCTAGTTCTTTTTCTTGTCTTCACAATACTACAAAGTCATATGGCAGAGTTGACCTTTAAAGCTCTTTTCTGCCTCAATAGATAAAACTCTTGGCTAAAAACATTCTTCTGCAATGATCCAGTGAAAAAACATATTATTGGTAAAAAATCCAGCCTGAATTAAGAGTTCTGTGTAACAAAATAAACTTGAAAACCAGTAAATTGTGTCTTCATACTGTGTATGCCATATGACTTTGTTGTATTCCAAAAATAAAAACATATCTTCATATCTTGTCCTTTTTATTAGAAAAAGGACAAGATATGAAGATATGTTTTTATTATATTTTTCAATGTTTCTTCTATTATACATAATTTTAAAGAAAATATAGTATTTTTTTATTGAAATCGAGAAAAAACGTTATGATTGAATAATAAGTATTCTTATGTATTACTAGCTTACCCGTCGCGCATTGCTGCGATCTCAGAAGAGATGAAATTCAAGCAAACTCGTTATAATAAAATTAAATTTTCATTTTATCATTTTTATTGAAATATATTATTATTATTCGTTTTCATCGGGAAAACATTTCAAAGTGTCGTTTCAATTCTATTTATTTATTGGAGTGCTCGTGGATACACGATATTTTTTGTTTTTTCGTCTGGTGCGTACACGAATAATTCGGAAGGTTTTCCGACGCGTGAGCTGGCCACATACAGTTGTCCATGCGAGAAGCACGGATTCTCCAAATTTAGCCCACACACTTGCAGCGATTGTCAAAAGCGCGATATTCCCCATTTATATATATATTTTTAAATCCTTTATAATTTTAATTATTTAATTGCTCCTTCCTCTCTTCCTTGGCATGTTGGGAAATTTCTGATAGTTAGATAATAAACCGTTTTATTGTAATTTGTCTTTTTAAATTATTTCGAGTCGATATTAAAATTTGAAAAAGGGCGATACCTAGATCGGTAAAATAGGCGAATTTCTTCCTACAACTTCGGTCGTTGTTCGGGGTACAGTTAAGATTTTAACGAAGTTCGAGCGAAAACATAATTAGCAAAAAAAGTCGAAATAAAGTGATTAAACAAAAATGATTACAAATATCGTAAATAACAGTTCA